TAATATAGTGTATATTCAAGCCCGTGGTACTTTCTTATATCTACTACTACCATCAATCAGAAATCGAGAAAATCTCTAGAGCCGGGTTCAGATGTCAATCTTTTTTTTCGCGTCTAATCTGATTGTTGGAGTTGAGTTTATGAGTATTTCGCGCACTGAGTTCTGACATTGGTAAATTTTGTTTATTTTATTAGATTCCGTAAATGTCAAGTGTTTAGACTGGTTGTCTTTCATTCTAACGTTATAATAAGCATCTAATGATAATAAGCTTATGATTGGTTTTTTGCATTAAATCTACTTTTTCAAAAGTTTTGATGGCTACCTTTTCAGACAYACTGAGGGAGTATTGGAGGAGCTTGTCATGACATTTCCCAAGTCGCGGTGATCTCGATCTTCATAACAGCCGAYCTTTAAGGATGGAAAATCTAGTAAAGGAGAATGAAAGCATATGTTGATCAAGACATTTAAAAATAGGGGCCGATGGACAAAACTAGCAGTTTGAAAATATAGTTTTATAGTGTTTTTTTTTTGCAATTAGACAGGTTTAATTATGAATGACATAGAGCCGCGAGTGAGAGATTTTAAACACGAGAAGATAAAATTCGTATCTCCAAGCGACCATGTAATATTCTGTTTATCATATAATTACATATGAAAGCAAGTTATGTCGTAAAATATCTTTTTCGTACTTCTACTATCAATATAGAGAAACAACCAATGTGCTATTTTCACATGTTATTTTTACAAGTTAAAACATCAACTCTCACTTTATGAAATGGAGAAATACAGGTATTCCATAGATAATTTTATGATAAATAGCAATAATTATATTACACGCTCATACTCCTCACAGTTGTTTGCGTAACAGTTTTATATTCTAAAGAAATTATTGATGTTTTTATGGCAAGATAATGTCATTTGTGTCAGTCAGTGAAAATTGTTTTTCAAATATTGACATCTCCTTCGAGCAATAATATAAATATAATTATAAATATAAATTGAATAAATTGAAGAAAAAGGCACACAACTTGCAACTAGTATTTCTACTCTTTATTCGAACGTTTCGGCACTTCAGCCTTCTTCAGCAAACTCAAAAATTATAAAAAAAATTATAAATATAAAAAAAAATTATAAATATAAAAAAAATTATAAATATAATTATACTTGTAAAACATCCAACAAAATTAAAGATAGATCCAATATTTCACATTGCTATTCAGTTCCATTTTCGGAACAGCAGGTTCATGTTGAATGGATGATGTTGGTTGATTGGAAATATTATATGTCGCTTTTGCAAGAACTGAMTTGCCAAACTCAAAAATAATTTAATGATTAACAACACCAATTCAGTCAGCAGAATGGCAATTTCTCGGAAAGCAAATTGAGTATTAACATTACCTTTAACAAGTAATATTTGTAATTGAACGATCCCAAATACAGTATATACCATGAACAAGTTAATAAATAGTGRATGAATAAAGGATTTCAGGATTAATATAAWGCTTTTTYGGTTGATGCTGCCAATTGAAATGCGCATGCGTAAAGATTGACATCCACTTATTTGAAAAAATGAACTTTAGTTTTAAAAATAATATCAATATGATTAGTTAAAATAAATACGTCAAGAGGGGTAAATGCCGTTCCACAAGCCCATGGGATAGTATTTAAAAGTATACTAAATGTATGCAAATGACTTATTGTGTTCTTTAAGTCTTTACAACTGAACAACGTTCATGGGATTGACTGTATGTGTGGTCAACCTTCGTCGCTCGCGTTCCCTGATCGCATCGACAACTTATTTTAAAATAAACAATAACAGCGTCAAAAGGTACTATACCTTGGGGGCAAACCATCGCAATTATGTTGAATTGCACCTGACGCAAAGAAAACAAAACAAAACAAGCATGAAATACATATAATTGCTACCWTCAAAGCGGGACAATGTAAGAAGCTGAAAAAATTTGATATGTAAAGAAAGGAAGAAGCTGTCACACTGTTTAATTTTTGGTATATTTATTTTCCATTATGGAAAATAGATTTTACAGAATATCCATTCTMCTTTCAAGTTGTTGGAGTTATAATTTGAAATTCTTCATAAAAATGCTTCAGGTTTACTACTTACAGGTTTACTAACGATAACATAGTGTATTGAATATCTTTTTTTATAAATAGTTTTTTTTGTTTATAAGCATTATGTTTTGTAGAAAACATCGATGTTATTTTAATATTATCCACATTAATCAAATATGTCGTAAGCGCGATAAAAATGAGATAATATATAATTATAAGAAACAAAAAGCTTAAACGTATATGCCGTAGGGATGGTGGACTTGCACTGATAAATATATACAAAGACGTTGTCGGGGAGAACGATGTCTTAAATTTTATTTTTGCATTAGATAGCAAAAAAATGAGATTCTAAGAAGTTTATTAGGAGTATTTAATAGGATATGACGAAAAAACGACCTACAAAGCGATCTTCAATAGTAAATGAATTATAACTTTAAGGTTTTAATGCACTAGTTATCCTGTACAATTGATAATTAATTCCACATGATTAACGGGAAAARGTTATTAACATCTTACCGCGAAATACAAGTCCAGTAAACGTCGCTCCGTCTTGAAACGCATTTCGCAGAATGTCTACGCTTTCACCTGCCAATTCAGGACCGAAAGTTGGTCAGTAAAATTCATGMATATTCATTATGTAAAAACAAGGTGTACGTTTCATAACTGAATCCCAAGGTGAGCAATTGTCAATAAAAATGCCGTTTTTTTACTCAAAGGCTCCATCTACGCGTATCCGGGCACGTTTTGAATTGACTTTTACCCTTATTTATGTCTGCATCCTTTAAATGCGGATTTGCTTTAGTTTTCAGCACACTATCCCTAGGCCCATTCCGCACTATTTAGATTACGATGAATTTGCAAAACGGGATTTTTTTCTGGATATCATAGATACATCTTGAATCCTCGTTCCCCTTAATGTGGAAATGTGAAATATCATGTGGAATTTCTAAAATTCTACACTACACTCTTTAAAAATGGTTTTTGCTGAGAGCGAGCGCAGCGAGCGAGCAGCACACTATTTCAAACAAAAATGGGATCCCTGTGTCGCACGATAATATTCATTTCAAAGTCGAAATTTTGGAGTTTAAGGCGATGTCCGTATTTCTGAGCTAACAAATCTCTTGATCAGCGGTCCACATTTCAGAGCGAGCTTCGCTCTCTTTACGATGAAATGTTTGAAGAGGAGTTTAAATTCATCACAGTAAAATCACTTTCAGCATTGTTTTCAGTACACGTTCAGATCATCGAACAAATTCTAAGGAGATGTCTTTTGAAGACCACTCGACCTACCCGATGAAGAGACGATTTATATTCTTTGAACTACCTACGTGTATGTGCCTGATCGAGTTTAATATTATCATAATATCAGAAGATATACAAGTTTAAGTTAAAGCAAATTATCATTGATAAGATGTATCAATTTTGATTTATAGAATCAAGTCTTAAAATCAAGTACTATATTAGCATAACATCAGATAAACAAATGACTAACTAAAAGCAAACTATCAAGTTTATATTATCACAATATCAAATAAACAAATTTATACTATGTATTTTAGGAAAGAAAATGTTGTTTTTATTTCTTTAATATCAACAAAAACGTTTAAAATCAGGCTTTCATCTTCGCTGAGAACTCTGCACAATCCCACAGCGCTCTTCTTAATAAAGATGTACAAACCAGTGATAAAAACTTTTCATACACGATTGTCTTTCTCAAGCATCGCAGCACTTACTTTTGATAAAAATCGCTAGTTTTAAATTCTAGTCTACTTAATTGCAATTTTTATGATATTCGTTAACCTGCATGGCAAAAGTCGTCGACGCCGTAAACAGGAAAGGAACATGAAGATGTCACGTGCTTATGCTCTCACACCGTCGAGTTGGCAGTTAGGTTAAGGTTTCTGAAGTAATGTTTAAAGTCCTCCAATTCGGACTGGACGGGGTTTCAAGTCCGCGCAATTAGTTCCAGTCCGAGGCGTTAGCCGAGAATACAAGGAAGGAGTACTTCCTCTGGTATCCAGTTACTGGACGTGGTACAAATTACAATCAGGGATTGGCTAGATACCTCATGAATAATTAATGAGTATGAGAATAAAGGAGCATGCACAATTTAGAAGTAAATCATTTAGAGCAAAGTTTCTTATGCCTATTATGATTTTTTTTTAGTTTTTTTTTTCAAACCAAAGTTCTTTTCAAAACTCGAACGCTTTCACTACGAAAACCCTTTTTATCTCAACGACATCGGCGAAATCCGAGGCTTGTGACGATCAGGGTCGCAACGGATTTTTACAAACCCTACTAACCCTTCCCTCTGTGTGGCAAATGTTCGCATTTTAAAAACGAACAAAATCTTCAGATATATAGTGTTATTCAATTTCACTGTGCTTTTAACATGCTATCAAAGAAAAGATCATTTGAAGAAAGCACTAATAATAACTTTGTTGAATGTAAAAGAAAGAAAGGGTATGGTTTGTTTTGTACAATGTTCGTAACGTATTTGTCATACGGAGGGGAGGGTTAGTAGGGTTTGTAAAAATCCGTTGAGACCCTGATCGTCACAAGCCTCGGATTTCGCCGATGTCGTTTTCGTAGTGAAAGCGTTCGAGTTTTGAAAAGAACTTTGGTTTGTGGAAGGAATGATTATGGGGCAAAGATAATTTAAAAGAATTTTGGAAAAGTTCGTAATTTTAAGCGAGCTAGAAGCGAATTTCTGACGGCCTCGGGGCGCCGAGCTCGGATTACTGTGCTACCTTCCCTTCTTCTTAGGACGCTGGAGAACAACAGCCATAAATCGCTCAAAATTAAAGGAAATGGCCTGAAACTTCACAGAAATGTAAAGAAAAACACAATACACAGCCGAAGACGTTTATCTTTTTTATATTTTAAATATTTATAAAAAGTACAGAAATGCCTAGCTTGGGCTACCTGTGAATCAAGACGAGGCGCCGTGCATAAAGTTCAGTAATTCGTGAAAAGACAATAGTTTTTCACAATTGACTGAGATTTACGCATGGCGCCTCGTCTTTATTCTTTTGTGTTTGACCACTGAGGCGAAATTCGCAAATCGGCTCTCGACCAATCAGCGCGCGAGAATTCTACAAGTTATGGTAAAAATTATATTTCCAAGAGGCGTTTCTATGGGAACTATAAAAAAAATGTCCGGGAGCGTGTGCCATGACATTCACATATACAGCTATTTCATATAACCGCAATGCAATATTGCTTTCCATTTAAGTTCTTGACTACAAGGAGGTGGTATAATCACTTTTAAATCACCAACAATGCATTATGGTCTTGGAATACATTGTCTTGGCATTCAACGTTTTCTGAAATAGATGTAAAACCAAACGCAACCTCTGGTATAGCCACAGGGCCCGTCAATTTTAATTGAAATTAAGACAATATTCAAAGAGCTGTATTTGTCAAATACAGGTACACTACTCCAGCCTCTTGTACCACCTTAATAATGCTGAATGTAAATAGAAAATATTTTTCTACTTCTATAAATCTTACTATATAAATTTTTATATTAATTTAATAATTTAATTCTAAATGAATTTAACTTGAACTATAACGTCTATAAAATATATAATGTATGCAACTTTCTAAGCTAAAATGTAAGTTCATATAGAGGTTATTACATGGGCGAGATGAAAAAATCTCTCGAGTGTTCCTGCAATTGATATCTTACGAGTAATCTTACTCAAAAAAGGCGTGAAAAATTCGTATCTCGTATCTTGTAATTTTCTATTGATTACTTAGATCAATGAAACTAAAAACAGCAAAAGCTCCAAAATTCTTTTTCAAGAGAAGGAAGCCGAGTTGTTATTACATCAGCGATATATTGACATGTGATATGATATACCTGCCACTCGTTTTTGACTCGTAGATAAATAGAAGATATTACATGGCCGCGCGGAGATTCAGATTTTATCGGCTTTAAGTGCTGAAAAGTCACTAATCATGTGTTATAACGTAGCATGATCCCCCAAAAATTAAGCTTAAGGTACCACCGGTGGCTTCCTACAGTTGTTTTTCGACCACACCTCTCATTTTAAATTCGCTTTTTGAAAATCTTGCTATGCACCGATTTGTTTCGTGTTTGGACCAGTATTAAACCATTGACCAAAGTTTTGTTTGGCATAATATTTAGCTCTATCAACGTTACCTAGGCAACGGAATTTGCATTTTGTCGAAATTCGAATTTCCCAAATATCTCAAAAAATTGATGAGATCCAGAAAAGATTTATTTTTTATAATTTATTTTTTATAAAATATGTGAGTGCATAATTAGCTGCATGCTTCATTATATGGACCTGACAAATAGCAGAGACAGAGACATGACAAATAGCATATCTCTGTGTAAATATTACAGTGTGCTTCAAAGCTTCTGGACCCATTTTCCGCGACCAGCAGTTCGATGAAGCGGCCAAAAAAGTTCCAGGACTGTACCACGAGTCGGCCAGTCATGCTTTGGTAACCTTCGTTTGAGCAGGCACCTCCTCATAAATCGGCATCAATGATACTTGCGCAGGTCCCTAGAGTAATAAAGAATGACAAATGTTAAGATACGAGGGTGGATTAAGCTATCCCAGACAAAGTACCCTGTCTACTCTATTAATTTTGTAAACGCGAAGAAAGTATGAAACTTAAAAAAAACTTGATATCTTGAAACATTGCATCTTTATCACTAATGGTGTGACCAATTCGATCAGATCAAGTGTTTAAAAATTACATTTAGCGCGAAAAAGGTATATTATTCGCTGGACAAATACACCTTTTTCCCGTTCAAAGTGAGAAACCGCTGCTTTAGTTGACAACATGTCTCGCTCATGCGCAAAGACCTTACCAAAAACAAAAGAAAGCACAAAAAAAATGTTGTCATTATAATAGCGCTATAAATTTGCATTTTCTCCGATTCTGTATTCCCAGAAGGTTCAAACTCTTGCTCAGGCCTCAAATTGGAGTAGATTCAAATTTCTAGAGCTCAGTATTGTAATGTCAACATTTTTTCGTGCTTTCTTTTCTTCTTTACGCAAGTGAGTCTGTTGTCTATTAAAACAGCGGTCGCTCGCATTGAACTGGAAAAAGGTGTTAGATAACAGAATTTGAGAGATTTATTATTTGAATTTCTCATGACCTTGTATTTTTCGATAAATGTTGATATTAGAGACCTAGACTGTTTTGACTAATGTTAGTTATATGTAGTTTCATGTGTGGTACAACCTCCTATAGTTAAGACCACCATCGTTTTAGTTTTGACTATCATTTGATGGAAACAGGATATTGGATTAAGTTTAGAATTATAAAAGGACTGACGTTATAGCACTCGAAACACACTACTCATCTCATTGTACCTATTACGGGCCAAGACTGGGGTTGTAGTCTAGATCGTATTGGAAAGTACAGACCAAAGTATGGAAAGTGCTTGAGTTTGGAAGTCCTACTATACAAGCACTCCGACAGCGGAAAGTCTTTCTGGTCGACCTTCTTCAGCCTCATYTTGCGCCGAACACATAAATAACCATAGTTTTGTAATTACTGTACGTGAGAACCAAGAATAAACGAGTGGCAAACCAGAACGATCCTTACTAGTTGAGCATGTCCTTACAAAGGCTTATTCCCCAGTGGACACGCCATTATGCGATCAGTCCTAGTGAGCTGTAAATTAAGTAAAATCTGCATCTTTCAATATTTTACCTCTGCTTTCTTTTTTTTGCCAAATCGATTTACCGATTTCTTTGGTGATCTTGAATTTAACACGTGTGCATATAATGTGTTATCATCKTCAGAGGCAGATGCTGCTTTTTCTTCGTTTCTCATTAAATCAGCTTCCTCAGAGCTGTTATGTTGATTTTTTGGCTTTATTTGATATGGAATGGCATCGATGGGTTCACCGTATGGGTTTTCCTCCGTCACCAGCGGTCCGCTCCTTTCTGGTGGATGTTGACTGTTAAAGATCAGAAAAGTTGCTATTAAAACATTAAAAGTTTTGGCTGCATCGGCTGCATCAGCATTTCCCAAACCGATCCCATTGTTATTTGTTAAGTTCATTAGCACGTATTATGTCTATTATWGTTGTTTTGCAATAAATGTCAATATCATCGATGAGATTTACGGCCAAGCAATGGAAAAATCAGAATACATGAAATAACACATTATTGGTATTGCATATGTGATGTCATTACAATTTTAAGCGGTGTGTTTTATCCATACTAGTTCTGAGAAACTTTTTATTTGAATTACAATAACAGCAATGCTATGCCGCATACCTTTGTTTTTCATAGGAAGGAACATCTGTAAGATAAAATATGAGCAACATGATCAGCATAAACATTCAGTGCTAGGTGTAATTATTTTTTTATCGTTTCAGTCAGTCTTATCGAATTGTATATATTGTTACATGTTCTTCATTTGATTTAAAAAGTCATAGACAGATATAAAAGCTATTATAGAGTGAACGCACTTAAGCCGTGAAACATAAATATTRATATTTATTACTAATTGTAAACAGAGTAGTAATTTAGTACTACTAGTGTATGTACTTATATTAACTTAGACCTAGTCTATTGAATAAAAACAGCAGTTTATTCGTTTTAGATTTTTACTTTTTACTCGACGACGTTTGATAGCGACTAGATTAATCTAAACAACACTTCTTTTAAAAATTTACAAACGACGATAGCTCTTCTTAATCAAGGGCCCGCAGTATGGGCAGAAACAAAACTCGCTGCTAGGGATACGTTTGGCACATGAAGAACAGAACGGCATTTGGAATGCAATCCTTTCATTCATAGCTTCAACAGAATGTTCTTCTCAGGCCAATGGTAACTGGTAAAATATCTTGTGAAATCTACTATTTATTAATTAGTAGCAATTATACTATTGGTGACTATTTGTTTCACGGTTTTTAAAAGTACGTTCACTCTATAATGAGACTCAATAAGTAAATTTGAAAATACCTTCTGATTTGAGTTCTTTTTTCTTTCGTTTCCTTTTCTTGTTMAAAATGAGYATTAATACCAAGCCCACCAGAACAACAGCAATCACGCAGACAATAACAATAACCAGGGCTACGTCAATTTTATCGGACTTCAATCCTAATGTATCTGTGAAAAAGAGTAGAATTAGAGTTAATTTTGATATTGATGCAAAGAATTTGTATCGATGTCCTTTTTTGACTTGAAATGTCCTTATAGCTATTTGTCGTTTTGAATCACAGGAATAGGTCAGGTTTCCAAGAATACTTACGAGAAGGTTCGGTAGTTGTCGCAAGTGWAGTAGAGCTGATGTTATCTTGTCCTTGATCTTGCGATCAAGAATAGGTTTAAGAATAGATGAAAAAGAGAAATTCAAACAAGAATGTGAATCTACATGCATGCAATATTGTAGATTAAGAAGAAGAAGTTCGTGTGTTGATCAGTCTATTGATTAGTAGTCGGTTGAGATTAATGAATGATTGATAAGTTGATTAGCTGATAATTGGTTAATTAATGCTGATTGGCTCATTGACTAATTTGTTGGCCAGAGTGCGAATAATACATCCCTGAAACACTGCTTAGGCTATAAGCACGGCCTAAGCTCGACACTTTTTATGGGGTCGAGCCTACTTTTTTTTTGAAGATAAACACAAATGTGATATATATTAACTGTATATTAGGATATCTTCCCTGCTGAAAATATTTTAATAAAAAATATTTTAATAAAAAATATTTTAATAAAAAATATTTTAAGTTAAAACTTTTCAAAAGATTTTTTGCAGCAGCCTAAATAAATAAAGATTATTAATGTATTGTTTTTTTAGTTTCAGTTGTGTCCTGTTTCTTGTTTTTGGAAAAAAATGTGAAAAAATAAAGATGTTGCAACGCTTTTCCCTGTATATTTGTGGTTATTTTAGTCTAATGTATCTCTTGGTCCTTTTTACGACAGAAGGACGAATGAATAAATGCTCTGAAATGAATGCAAATGAATGTAGACTTGGAAACATGCACGAGCCCATGCCATCCTCAATGAATTTAGGACTCTACACCCATTGCTTTCTTTGACTTCTTTTATTGGAATACAACTATTAGACACTATTAAAAACTGACTAGTAGTAACTGTTTCACAGACGGATGAAAATGACTCTAGCTGCGTGAACTCGGGGTTCTGCTTGATTGTAAACGATGAAGTGACAACAGTTTGAGTGTTGTAATCGAAGAATTGGACTGTATTGAACGGTTTTTCCTCAGTGGAACTCTGTTCGCATTCCTCAGATGAGTCCTTTGTAGATTACTTATGTAGTTCGCTTGTGCTAARATAGGTAGCTTTTTGATAGACAATTCTCGATCGACACTCACAGTAAGATAAATTTCGCACAATATAAAGTTTCTCAATAAATTCGCAGTATCTCTCGTGAAATGCCCTTTCGAAAAAAACGCTCGACAGATTTTAGAGTGGCTAAACCACGAAAGTGTGGATTCGTAAGTGATTTGAGCGCATTTGTAGACGTTGAATTTACAGTATGTCTTCTTCCATCACGCGTTACACTCTCGCTGACAATTGATGAGCTTGGGCTACCTGTGGGACAATTTGTGACTGATAAGCGACGACGACAATGAAAAAGAAGGCCTAAATCTAAACTCGGGATTCCTTTGGAACCCCGAGTAATTAGACTAGTTTAGTATGCGAACCATTTCATGGATATATTGAAGGCATTCTGTACTCTGATCATTAGGAGAAACGTTCAAACTCATAAGCTGACATCAATTAGATAACAAACCTGATGAGAGTTCGACCCAAAGCGTACTAGCAAAATAATGCTACATAGCATTGATTAAGACAATAGAATCGCTTTCACTTGACCATGCAATAAAAATGACTATGAGTTAGTTTTGCTGGTAAAGAGAAAGGCAAAATAAACAGGCAAAGAGAGTGTGATATCAACATCAGAATGTTACAAGATTGAAGTAAAAAAATCCACGAAACTCTAATTACTAAATTCTGCAAAATTTGTGCTAGTTGAACAAAAGAACTGACAAAAGAATTAGCACAAATTAGTACAAAATAGTATTACTTACAATTTTCAAGCTTTTAGAGTGATCGCACTTAGACTAATMCGTGCRACTGTACAAACTAAATAGTTCTATTTAGTTGTATTTAGTAAATCGTGCATGCGGTACGAAAATTAAATTGAATTGATACAAATGAAGCATTCAATACCGTCTTGCTACARGTCCACTTYTAGTACAAATTAGTGCCACTTAGATTTTGTCCCGGGAGGGGGRACTCCCTAATATCARAGGGCGGGGGTCCTCGACGTCCCTTTTAGGKTTTGGTGGGAACTAGCGGTAAACTTGTGTGAGCTGCGTCAGTGTTTCTAAAGAAACAGTTGTGTAAAAAGATAAATTTAACACCGTAAAAAAGTATGTGAAATAACTTACTGACGTTTCGGACGTTAATCYTTCGTCGGAGTAAAAGTGATGAGACTAGGTAAAGGGTGAGTTTATATAGTAAGATTAGGAAGGAAAATAGACCAATAGGAGCAAAGTAGGCATGGTAACGTGAAATAAACAAAAAATCAAAGGAAGTGTAAGACAAAAGAACAATAAAGGTGCTAAAAAGGGAACAAAAGATAAACAAMCTATCTGAAAACAAAGCGTTCATTCAACCCATGGGGATTATAAGTGCCCAATTGGTGAATGAGCCGCATTTCTTTGGTTTTGCGTCAATCATTATTGCCGCTAATCAAAGACAAACCAAAAACAATAAAGTTAGAAAGCGGTGGGAACTAGCGGYAAACTAGTGTGAGCTGCGTCGGTGTTTCTAAAGAAACAGTTGTGTATAAAAAAAGATAAGTTTATAACACCGTAAAAAAGTATGGGAAATATATAGATAAGTTTAACACCGTAAAAAAGTATGCGAAATATATATTTCCCATATACTTTTTTACGGTGTTTAACTTATCTTTTTTACACAAAAGTTAGAAAGCGAATGGTTGGGTAGGTTAAAATGGCGGGAAACAGGCTTATTAAGATCATTATGACGAATAATGACGCATGGGTGGCGGGACGCATGGGTGGCCGAGCGGTGAGAGCGCTGGCCTGTCACCTCTGTGGACCATGTTCGAATCTCGRTCRGGGCGCCATATGTGATTTGAGTTTCTTTCGTTCTCTCCCTTGCGTCGAGGGTTTTTTYCGGGTCTTTYCGGGTTTTCCTCCCTCAGTAAAAACRAACCATTTCTATCTGCTGTGCTCCGCGTTCAGTYGTTCGTTGCTATGTAAAGGAAGCGCCTAGCCGGCAGCACGCCTATGTGTAAGTGTCTGTAAAATGTGTCTGTAATAYARCACTTYGACTTGAGAGCGCGTCGAGCTGCGTCTTTCGCAATTCAGTACCCATGCTGCCATGAAGGACGATTAGCACCCAACACCTTTTCCCTTATACTATAAAGATGTTCACGGATACGATCGCCAAGACGACGGCCAGTCTCGCCGACATACAACAAATTACAAAGCGAACATTTAATGCAATATACAACATTAGAGGCGGTACATTCAAAGTGATCAGTGATTCTGAGTGACGAGTTAGGACCAACAATGGAAGCATGCGAGACAAWGTACGGACAAGTGTTACAAATTTTACGTGAGCAACGAAMAGTACCGGGATCATTATTAGAATGAAAAACACCTTTGACTAGGAAGGAACGAAGGTTACGGTCACGTTTATTAGAAAAGAGGGGTCGGTCGTTAAAGATGTGAGAAGTGTTAGTTTCAGAAGTGAGTAAGAAGTAATTACGATCWATAATAGGCTTAAWAGAACTGTTAATAGAATGATACGTAAGAGTGAAAGGAATACGGTCATTAGGAGCACGAACCTTAGGTGTGAGARCAGTGTTACGATCTATGTGAGAGACTTTACGCAGAGCTTGATCAATGGCATGTGGAGGATAGTTAATGCYATTCCTTTCTCTCAATTTCTACGYCTCCGTCGCTTGTGCAGCGACGATAATGACTTTTCTAACAAATGCATGGAGATGCGYTCCTTTTTTCTTAATCGTAATTTTTTTATATGACGTCMCTAAGCCGTCATTATGAGATCAAAAACCACAGCTGATTGATTATGATTGATTTTATTTCACGTCTTGTCACTTAACACTCCTTAATAGACGAGATYATTGGTCCCTTTTAGGGMTGAAATTTMASCACTGCCACGCCCATCATCTCCAAATACAGGACCCCGCCCTTTGATATTAGGGAGTCCCCCCCGGGATTTTGTACAGTTGCACGGTTAAAGTGCGATCACTYTACTAAAAGCCAAATTTATACTAATAGTCAAATTTTGTTTCACGGATTTAATGACTTCTGCACTCTAATCTATCAAGGTCAAATGAAAACTAATCATAGATAGAAAACAAAAGAATTAGCAGACGTTGTTAGCTCTCAATTAATCATTGCACAATTAATTATTGAGTTTAGCACAATTAATTATTGAGTTTCACGTTTTAAGTATTTGCATTTACTTAATAACAAATCGCCGCCGCATCTGCTTCCTGTCATTAGGCTGATTAGCAAATTTTTAATGYTTATTCACTTGATTTTAATTTCCTKCTCGTGAGATGTGAGGATTTTTTTGTTTGAGGTGTCAAAAAGAGATCCAAATATTCTGTTTGTTAACAATAATTTCCTGCGATACTGGATCGTTTTAATGGAATTAAGACCGACGGGATCGCAGGCTACTGAATACTTACCTCGTAGTTCATAGTAAATAGTTCATGTCTTACCTGTGGATCTGGAGGTTTGTTTACATTGCTGCATCATGGTATTCACTATAAAGAAATAAAATCACAAAGATCAAACATTACACGATTTTCGGCAAAACATAGTAATACAAAAATCTATGAAACCACGTGTCCGAATGCAAAATATGCCTATTTTCTAGGAACAATCATTTTTAACATAATTTTACCGTATACACTGATTTTTTTATTCGGTGTTTTTCCCGTGATGCTCCACGCCCTACAGTAATATGTCCATATTTCATTTTTGCAATGCTTAAAAGGAATAGTGTAACTGCCATCTTTTGATTGGTGGATTATATTGCCTGAACGGTTAGTCCATTCTATTGTAGGAATTGGGATTCCTGATGCCAGACAAATAATGGTCACGCTGTTGTTTATCATTGTGTAATTAGTTGGCGTAGTATTCGACAATAGTGGATCTGCAACAAATTGACGAATAAGACAACTTCAGTTTATACAGCTCAATCCAGGTAAACGAGGAATGTTCACTTAAAATATTTCAACAGCAAAAGAAACTTTTCCAACATGGAAATGTAAGTTTTTTTCCGATTTTCGTCTCATAAATACTAATTTTACCAAAATTGTAAATATTCTCGATTTCTGATTGGTTGATGTCCGTGGTAAATAAAAGTACATACCACGGTAGTGAGTTTTCTATAAGATGTTTTAGTTTTTTTTTTCAATTTTTTTCTTTCTTTTCAGTTCTATTTTTTTATGCAACAAGTCAGAAAGCGAAAAAATTATTAACCATAATTGTACTAAAAAAATCTCAATTTTGATCATGATCTCTATTTAGTTTTGTTCAACGCATACAAATTTATGATAAATTTTTAGCCATCCGCAAGACTAAGTCGACTAAATTTGTTAATTATATGTAGAACAGAGCACCATACCTCCAATCGTTATACATAGTGTATCATTTGCATATTTGTTGTCTGCAATACAACAATATTCTCCAAATGCTTGTTGAGTGATATTCACTGTCATCAGTGAAGAATTTGTCAATACGGAGTTATTTGTCACTTTTGTCCAGGTGATTGATGGTTCTGGATCGCCAGTTGCATTGCATTTCAGTTCCACAGTGGTGTCGTTAGGATTGATTATGTTGTGCGAGTGATATACAATTCTTGGATGAACTTTTGGAAAATGTGAAAGTATAAAGAAGAGCGTATTAATAACAGATTTTAAGGGTTAAGGGAACAGGCAAACACACAAGGAAAAGTCTATGGGAATGCCGCTGCCAAAAGTTAATGGGAATTGGGAAAACCCAGTACATCTTTATTCAGTACATTCTTTATTCATCACGTATAGTCTAACAAAAGTAAACGAAACGCAAAATTTAATAAATAAAGTTTGAAAAATTCAATCACCTCTATACGAAATTTACCAATTTGTACAAAACTCATTTAAACTGATTTAGTTTGTTTATTTCACCGAGGTGAATACATAGGCACCACTGCAATTTTATCACAATTTGACTGTGTGTATATATTGCATGATAATCTTTGTATCATTTACATTAGCTTTGAACCTCGACCGTACAGCAATAAAGTTACGAGCGTCTCAAACGAACGTCTCAAACGAACTTTTACAAGCTTCAATTGTCTTTGATCACTACTTGATAGAGTTATTAAGCTTGAAATGTATGAGAACTTCCCTCTCGAAAGAACCAGGAGGGAGAGGCACAATTTATAAAAAAAATCCGAATCAATTTTAAACCATTTTGACCAAGTGAGCGCAAAGTGTGCTTTTGACAACGGGGTTAAATCGGCGAATACGCTGACAAATTTCTCTGGACGGCCGCTTTTGACCGTTTTAAAAGTACGTTGATTCAAAAAAAGTTGCGCGCAAGTATAAAAAAGGTCCAGTGAGTTTTATCCTCCTTGCCCCAGTCCTCCTCAGCCAAAATGATATCAAGCCTATAGAGCTTGATTTAAATGATGGATACAGAGCCAGTTTTTTTCGCTAAAGTTCTCCAAACTCTTTGAGGGCAGCAGTTAGAAGTGTTTCGAGCAATGTGCGACTTCGGTATGAGGCGAGCAATGACGAAAGTGAAAGTTTGAAAATGCTGATTACTTCCCTGTCAGTAATTTGCGCAAGAAATGCAAAAATTACATAAGAATGGAACCATTTCAGGACTGTAAGAAGTGTTATTACAAATTTTATTACAACTATGTTAGAATTTAGTAATTATTATTTAAGCAATAAAGGATGGATGCCCGGTGCGTTTAACGGTGAAATAAAGCATGCGGGGATGTTGGGAGAACACGAAAAAGGGTCTAAAGACATTTTTGGCCTTTTTGAGTGTTCTTCCAACATCCCCAAGTGCTTTATTTCACCGATAAACGCACGACATCCATCCTTTATTGCTTTTATAATATAGAAAGTACAAGAAGAAGGAGTCATTCGCTCCGCGCGAGCGTGCATTTAGCGGCGAAATAAATCACGCTGTTAGGCCAATCAGAGCGCGCGTACTATTACATCTATATTACAATTTAAAATAACATTAAACTAGACTATACTTACCATACACTGATAACTTAGTACAGCTTCTATAATTTTTCGAAAGTTTATTTCTCCGAAACGTCATAGTAATACAATATTCTTTATCAGCCAAATTCTTTTTTATGAAGAAAAATTCCAATGTCACTGTAGAATGTTCAGAAATTACTTTCTCTGCTCCATCATAATCTTCATCTTTAAAGTACTTTCTATTTTCTGTATCCATGGTCGCTATAGTAGTTTCGCCGTCGAGGTAAATGTACGAGCTGATGGGTTTCTCACCATTTTCCAATATGTACCGCCAGGATATACTGACATTTTTACCAGATTCAGTGATTGTTTGGTTTGACGGTTTTGAAAGCCATTGAAAACATTGCACACCTAACGAGACAGGTTATTGATTAAAATAGGCAACAAAAAGTTGGCATAGCGAACAGAACAGCTTTATTAAAAAGGATTTCATTAATATCTCTTTTTTGTGCCAAACTGATCGTCGCTTATTAGCAAGATTTTTTCAACAAAGGGACCTGTAATTTGAAACGTCTATCTATTCGATTTTTTATTGAATTTACTAACTGTAACTCATGCTAAAGGCGCTGAGATCTTTTTAAGTCAAATATTGGCGATGTTTTTTCAAGGGTTTATTATATGAAAATCAATAGCACAAGACAATACCGCCTTTGCTTTAGTATGCCCTGGTATTTTGACCTAGAATGTGAAACAGACTTGTGATGAAAGCGAAATTTCCACGAGGCGATACAGTATATCGAAAGTGTCTTTTTTGATGCTTGGGTATGTCAGTTTCAATTATTGTATTGTTATATGTAGTAGCAATCTACACCTAATTGAAGATATGAACGTTGTCGGGTCCAACTAAAAAGGTCAAATCATAGATGAAGCTAAGACCGAAAGGGTACTTGGGAAGACAAACAATTTGGCTAATTTCTTAACAAACATCTCTCCAGCATAAATGAATAGCATGCTGTTAATCTTACTAGCTCTACTTGATTTACGGTACACCGTATATGCAAATGTAATCCCAATTTAGTGGTACTCAAAATCAGTCTTAGCTTCTATGATGTGAACTTTTTGAACACGAATACGTTTTTTCAATTAGGTATATGCTGTCTAATAAAGAAATAATTGGACGACGAAAAATTCTGAGAACTTACAAAAATTTGACAAGGCGGTGACTGATTCCAATAGATGAAGTGACGGTTTTGGCCGCCATCTTGGACCGGTAGGCATAGTGTCGCAAAATCACAAGGAATGACCAGGAAATCGACGTTAAATAATTCTCGCTGAATTCAAATTCGGAAAGAGTTATCAATTGCAAACGTTAGATACTGTAAAAAGGAGTTAACTGGTCAAATTTGAAGGGCGTACTTGATCTAGAGAGTGAGTAAACTCATTTTTAGTTTCCATACATTTCTTTGTAATTTCCGGGGTCATCAGCAAGTGACGCGCGTGAAAAATACAAAGAAATGTACTGAGAACTAAAAATAGATTTTCTCGCTCCCTAGATGAAGTACATTCTTCAAGTTTGGCCAGGTAACTCCTTTTTGTAGTATCTAACGTTTGCAATTAATAACTCTTTCCGAATTATTAATAATTTGACATCGATTTCCCGGTCATTCCTTTTTATTTTGAGACACTATGCCTACCGGACAAGATCGCGGCCAAAACCGTCACCTCATCTATTTGCCAGTCAGATGAATTTGTAGAGTCTAACTATTCCTTTATTGAGCAGTATTGAGTTTTATTACCTACCAATCATATATAGCCATTTATTATTCCCAATAGGTAAAAGCGAACAACAGAACTCATAGCAAAAATCCAAATGAAAACCTGTCCAGTCATATATTCAAAATAAACCTACAATGTAACCTGCAATTTAGCTATATTTATTAATCACAATTACAAAATGGCTTTCGTAAACACGGCGTAATGATCTTTATCTAAAAAATCTAAAAGGTTCCGCTAGTATCAGCAACATTATTGATATCAAACACGTGTTTTCACACGGAAGTATAAGCAAAAAGATTTCATTTTAGGTCAGTAAACTTCTTCTGAGCTTCCCTCTTCTATTAATATGGAAATAACAAAAGAATTTCTAATGTCTGGTTGTGTAATTGAAATGATCTTTTTGTACCTGTTGATAAAAGCCACATTTCCATAATAATGAAAGAAAGCCATGCACCACGTCCACAGCTTGTCTTTTGCTTGTTGTCTAGAAAAACGTGAAATAATTGAAAAATGATGATTTGGATGACTACACAATTTGAGTCATCAAGTACAGTCATAACTTCTAAATTAGCTTGTTTGCACTTCTGAGGGTTTCTTAATACAATCTCGTACCCAGCGCCACTGTCCCTCTTACTCACAGGCTCGCAACGAAAATCAGGGGCTCTGGAAATATCAAACACCGGAAGCCAGAATCAGGCTATTTCACCCATGCGCAGTAAAAACCCGATCTAACGGCTTTATTTTACTCAAGAAAATCGGCTTAATGAAAGCCTTCGAAGTCAGAAAAGGGATTTTTTAGACCTTAGATGATAAATCTATCTTCTTCGAAGCTAGTCGATATCTATTATGATCAGATCGTAGCAGACAGTGACGGTTAGTGATTATCATGGCGTGACAGTTCGTCGCCTCGCTGTATTCCATTTTATACTTAATTGATCATATTACTCTCAAATGCCCACTTCATAGACTTAATAAATGCTTTTAAAGGAAGAATTGAAGGTGAGGTAGCGAAATACAGAATGATTTGAGTGTTTTTCTCGGTGATATTTTCACTTCCGGCGGCAAGTTGTTTATTTTATGAGCCAATCAGAGAGCGATAAATTTTCGAAATTTCCAGAGCATCTGTTTTTCGTCGAGCCTGTGAGCCTGCGAGTAAGAGGGACAGTGGTTCTGGGTACGAGATTGTTCTTAATACTGCATGACCTGTCACGCATCCAGTCACGTGATCCACAAAACCACATGGCCGGCTTGCAGCTTTCAACAGCCATTGCATCGAAGACTGCAAGAAAGCAGTCTCAAAATTTCCTCCCACCCTTCCCTCTACTCAGGTTTCCATCACTACTACTTTTTTCAAAGTTCTTTTCTTCCCAATGTGTATCACTGAATTACATTTCTACAAATGAGCGTCTAATATAGGCATATTTTTTTTTCTTGCTGCTTACTTTCAAAAACGCATCAAATCTTAGTCGCGAACTGGGCACGGTAAGTTCCACATAGTGGTTCTATGAATGACTTTTGGTTTCTGGTTTTGATATTACTCAATCTCGTGATTTTCAGTTCAGCAACATATTATTACGCTCCCGCGATACTGACAATGTGAAGCGGTCTGCTGTCATTTTTTTCGTGACTTCTTTTGTCTTTTGAAAGGTCTCTGCGCATGAGAGACTGCTGCTGTCAACTAAAACAGCGATTGCTTGCTTTGAACGGGAAAAAGGCATATTGTGCTAACTTGTATTTACGTTTATGCTTTTATCTAGGTTCAGTTTTTTTAGTTTTTTTTCAGACGCTTGTTTTAAAGCTAAGGATTATAGTCGTATGAGAGGGGCAGCATGACAGCACATCTATAAATAAATATAATATCTATAAATAAAATATATCTATATCTAAAATATATATCTATAAATAAAATATACACGAGCAATCATTGAAATTACGGTTGTTCCGACATTTTCACACAAAAAAATCGACTGCCTGACGTTTAGTTCTGGGACTAAACGTCAGGCCGTCGAAAAATCTCAAAATGCCGTACTTGTGTTTTAAACTGGTCGAACAGTATCATTTTGGTCTTAATTGCATTCCCCTGTTGTATTAATTGAAATTACGGTTGTTCCGACGATTTTTAATGTAAAAATTCGACTGCCTGACGTTAGACACTCCGTTATAATATTTGTTCTCATGTCAACAAAACTGTTGTAGCTCACATTCCTTAGAACAGCAGAGCACTCTACCTTTGAAATAGCAGTACTAGATAATCATTTTCAGCTTCTATATTGCTATTGGAGCTCCGCTATTAGGTTTTACCTAATTTTTATATTATTTTTTATATGCAGCATGATTATATCCCGATACAACACGCACTCTCGTTCTAACAACACTTTCAGTTTTCACTTTAACCACTAGAGCACTGTTTAATAAAGATGAAGTTTTCATTTCACAGTTAAAAAGTCAAACTATTATTTGGTATGAAACTTTTAATCTATTCTTTCTTTTGTTCTTTACTGGTTTTTCATTGGTTGATAAAAATCACATTTTTGAAACTTCAAATTCAACTGAATGCATGCAATGCAGTACTTCATAACTTTAAGAGTTAGGCTAGTTTAGAAATTTCAAGTTGGCAATCAATCAGTTGCGGGGTAGCGCTTCACGGTTTTGCAAGATCTTATCCGATTGATTTACTAGCTATTTCTTTAATAAAAGAAATTAATAGAATTTTAAAATTCTAATTCTAATTTTAATTCGTTCTTAAAAGAACGAGCATGAGAATGAGCACTGTTTTATTCATCCAATCACAAGAAACCTTACAAACTCGTGCAGGATAACAGTTAGATTCAGGAGGGTGACAGTTTCCCTGCGGGGACGACAACTTCCTATTAGTTGCTTTCGATTATACCCTATACCCCATTTCGTTTCCCAGTTGTGGAGAATTGTCCCTGGTAGATTAAAATTGTTTATGGCACCTTTTGTTGGAAATCAGTCAATCCAAATTGAGAATATTCTTTTCTTTTGGGCATTTGTGTTGTAACGCCGTCTCCCGGTCCACTTTCAGTTGCACTTTATTCGTAGAACTGCTTATTTCTTCATTTCTAATCAGACAGCTCGTCCACACATTTCTTTGTCAATTTATATTTAAAAATGTTTAAGAGGAGTAGACTTGCTCCAAGTCTCTCTCGCAATTTAACGGAACAGTTGACGAAAGTTTGACTACGATGAAAATTTTTTTGAAAAGAAATAAAGTCAGAGGGCTAAAGTAACTAATAAGCTTTCTAGTATAGCCCCCTGTCATAGTAATTACAATGGTAATTACAGGTAAGGAGAAAAGCAATAAAACATAACGTAAAGAAAATAAACATACTCCAGTTTCGAGATCTTATTTGTGCATTCTTAACCTCGAAAGCATGTAATATATTCTTTTATTCAGCAGAGATCCTATTGTTATGCAAACACTCTGTGTACAAAGACAACAATAACAATTTATGCTTGATTGAAGCTAAGCTTGCACAAAAGAGAATTCAAAACTGGAGTATTACTTACACAACAGTTTAAAATTATGATATATTACATTTAATAGTTTAAAATTAATGATATGTCCCACGATTTTTGAGGCGCAACTTGCTGCGATGGTCGAGATTGATAATAGTGCCCGTGCTCCCAGCAGCCATCAAGAATGCATGGGACTGTTTTTGGAGCAGCGTCCACCACAAAAACCATACATATTCACTCTTATTTTCAAGTGGACATGGTGGAGTCAAAATTGAATTACTTAATATGGCAATGTCTAGATTCCAATAACGGTTTATTTTCATACTCGTTACCAGACTCCAATCTAATCGAATCAAGCTTTCTCGAAGGGGATCGGGGTGGAGTGAAACGGGTCTAATTCCAAAACGAAACTCGTGAAATTTTGCTATAAATCGCCTTCTTGTTGAAACCGAAAAACAAATTAAAGGGTTGAACCCTTTCCTGAAAGTAGAATATTTACAGCAAATACAGAGGGTGGAAGAAAGGAACACAACAAGAACCCTACAAGAGCAACAACACCAGAGCAAAAATCAGACAAGCAACGGCAAGTAACCGAAAATAAAATAGTAAGCCAATAAATTAGTTGAGCTCAATAAAAACAGCTTAGATCGAAAATGTTCGGTCGGTCTTCCCTCTCTCCTTTTCAATCTTTTTACAATGATACTTTAAATTTACACAGAAAATGGGTCATCAGCGTAGTTAACCCTTTAATGCCGCAATTTTTGGGGGATTTTAGGTTGTTTTTGAGACTGATATTTCAAATACTATATCTACACCTTATAAGTAGTTGTCAATCAAACTATTGTACATTCATATTCCTCTGAGTTTTGTTTACTTCAGCGACGCCCGGCCGATTTTTCGAGTCATTTTATGCAACAGAAGCCACTAGGACTGCATTATGCACAAGTTAATTGAAACCCCCGATCCCCGACCCCCGACCCCCGGGGCTAGCGGGACACTGAACGGGGACGTGACGCGTTTTTAACGTGCTTTTAATAGCAAGATTGCCCCGGGGGGTCGGGATTTTGATGAATTGTTTTCGAAGCGGGGCAAAGAGCGGGGATTGTAACGCTCTTTTAAAAGTGTATGAGTCTGGAAACTAGACGTCGGTCATCTTGAGAAATATCCTGAATACATTGGTTTTCATCCCCGCTTTTTTATTTGTTTATTTTTCCTTGCATAAAATGTTTTTAAAAGAAACTTATTACACATGTTTTTCTCTGTCCAGTAAACCTCATGTAGTACGCAAATGGGTACACAGGATTGTGCAAAAATTAACACTGTGTATCACAGAAAATTTGGTTGAAAGGTGTTTGTTTTGTTATTTACTACTAGACCAAAATAGCGGGGCAACAGTAGCGGGGATTTTAACAATGAATGTGTCCCGACTACCGGGGGAAATCAGTGTCCTATTTTAACACCACTCAAACGTTAAACTTCCCGGTATTCCCCGGGGGTCGGGGCGGGGGTTTCAATTGACTAGTGCATTACAAAGGCGGCAGAGACACTCTTCTGGAAGAAATCGTTCTGTTCTAGTCGTTCTTTGGCAGATTTCAGAACCTACCAAGGTAAAATTGGCAAGTTTTAACATCTAAAGACTGCAATCGTTGCAAATTTTGCCGGTAGGTGCAAGTGGCTTGGCACTTGCAAAAAATCTATGAAAATAGGATCGTTGGCTGCTCCCTGTCGAGTTTGAAACACGTTCCCATGATACAATTCGGACGTGCAAGTGAGAAATCTGGGTTTGCTGTGCTGGGTCTCGAAAAGGGGGCTGTGGCTAGATCTGTAGAGACTTCTACAAAACAAAAACTCAAAAATGCTGGGGGGTGGTAAACTTCAAAAAACGTGGAATTTCGATTTGCAAAAGACGATTTTGACTCTAAAACGGCACCCTTAAAGTGTCCTTTTTGCCCAGATATTGTGCTTGATGTTAAATGTTTTCATTACCAGCTGTTGTCATGTGGTACATTTGGTGGTCTAAATTTGCAGTCTCGGAAACTTGCAATTTTTTTAGAAACATAGGGTCGCGACCTAGAGTGCAAGTCACATAAGCATGAAACAATTCTTAACTATGTAGTGCTAAATAAGATTTAGTTATCAACTAACTAAGAATTGAGAACAATGCTACAAAGGAATTTAAATAATTGGCATTGTGTTTATGCTTTGTTGAATTCTTAATTAGTTGATAACTAAATCTTATTTAGCAATGCATATTAAGAATTGTTTCATGCTTATGTGACGTGCACTCTATAATCCCTAAAGCGGAGCGGTATAGGGTTAACCTTTATATGTAATAGCGTCAAACATTATTTCGTAGCGTCAAACATTATTTCGTAGCGTCAAACTTTATTTCTTATCGTCAAACTTTATTTCTTATCGTCAAACGTTATTTCTTAGCGCGCAAACTTTATTTCTTAGTGGCTGTGTTGGACTAGTCTGATCTAGTCTCCTCTCGCGCCCTCCCCTTTTGTCGGGATTCCTGTTCCTCCCCAAAATAGAGGCTGCTAAGTAGGCTAACGTTGGGTCGGTTGTATCGAAAACGAAGACCCTCGAAAGCGAAGACCTAAGACCCAAGAAAACCTAAGACCCCAATTATTTTTACGTTTGATGCATTTTGTCCCAATACGCGCTAGAAACACAATCGACGTTGAATTGCTGTTATTTTGTGCAGTTTGGAGGGGGGCTCTTAGTTTTTGATTTTGTCGAAACCTAAGACCAAAACCTAAGACCACCTATATTTTGACGTTTTGATACATTAATTACTAAAACTGTTTAAAAGTCGTGCTTCTTTTATGAATTTTTCTTGTTCTCGACTTCTGTCTCGAGTAAACTTCTTCACGATTATTGTGCGTTCTTTGTAGTCTGCAGTGAATATAATTGAGCCAAATGAACCATGACCAATTTCTTCCTTCGCGAGTTCCTTCCAGTTAAATCGGGGTATGCTTTGGTCGACCGGTACACTTTGTACCGATAATTTCACGCAACCTCGACTGGCAGTGACATGACGAGAATATATCCAATTGTTAAAAAAGGTTTTCAGCCAGCTGAATAAGAGAGAGCTGTCATAATGACTATAATTAATTTCACATACAACTACTTTGTGAGTGCATGGGCATCGAGGACAGTTTTAAATATGCCGAAGTGCCTTCCTACAACATTGATTTTCATGTTTTTTTAAATGTACTTGATTCTCCATATATTAAAAATCATGTATTTTGTTGTTCTCAAGTCGTACACAGTGAGATACCCCTCCCCTCCCCCCAAAGAACAAAACGTGGCAAAGAAAACAACAATCGATCTGAGTATGACTGTAATGAATACGCGTATAAAACGTCTTAGGTTTTTGTCTTAGGTTTCGACAAAATCGAAAACTAAGACCCCCTCCAAACTGCACAAAATAACAGCAATTCAACGGCGATTGTGTTTCTAGCGCGTATTGATACATAAAAATAATTGGGGTCTTAGGTTTTCTTGGGTCTTAGGTCTTCGCTTTCGAGGGTCTTCGTTTTCGATATAACCACGTTGGGTCTGTGAAAATAGCTGTCGAGTATTATGACTGCCATGGCTACCGAGAAAACATTGAATGATTGCCGAATATAACATAGCACGAAAATATATCTGTATCTGTATATATTTCAAAAACCTTAAAAAGTTCTAATATTATCGTTAGGTAGGTCAGCATCTTGAATGTGATGCTAAATTCAATGTGGAAATTGTGCAAATTGAATAATTGATAGCTTTATAAACATTTGACAAAAAGTTCGATTCTACTTGATGCTAAATATCGTCATGACGAGTTTAAACGAGACATATTCAAAGCATCTTGAAAATACAGATACATCTAGAATCAGATTTTTATCAGTTTTTATTATAATAATGAAATGCTTCAGTTGTTATGAAGAGTGACTTCCTATTGTTCAAAATCTAGTCATTAATTATGTAATGACCACGTTTTAGTTCTTGGAAACTCGATAGCGACAGTTTCCAAAAACATAAATTCATTTGAAATTTTGTTTTATCAGATTCTCTCAGTTGCATTTTCGAAAATGCATTTATAAATTGCATCTATAAATTCCCATTGGATACCTTGTGACCGGAGATGATAAGTATAACAGACTATAAACAAACGCCTACGAACTCATCACGGTGAGTGAACTTCCACGCTGAGCGAACTGACCAGTAGATCATATAGAGTTAAAATATAAATATAACATATTTTACTTACAAATAGTCCCTGCATTACCAACAAGTTCGTTATATCCTGTTATATGGTTTGAAATCATGTCAATTTAAGTCGCTGTTTACGTCTCTACCTGTTAAAAAGTCTTCTCGGAAGTCATCCACAGGCAGCCCAACTTTGAAAATACAATTAAACAAAAAAAAATTCTTTTTGAGCGTCCCGACATCAATTACTGAGTAACAAATTGCTGAAAAAAACTATTGATAATTAGTATTACCATACTAGTGGACAATTCCAAACCCTTCCTTCTGATTGGCTGCGCTACTCGATGTCTACCTTTAGTTTAAGTTTCAGTTTCAGTCTAGCTATTTTCAATCGTCCTGCCCCCAAACTTGGGTGGGGTATGCTGCTTGGACGTCTAAACCCTGACCCTGTTCCAGAGTGTGAAATGTTCCTCATTTTGATTTCGAAAGACCTTGAAAATCTCATGTTGCGTAAGTATCTAAAGTTTAACGTTTGTTCCTCTGTCTTTCACAAGCAAAATTTTGTACAAATTTTGTACAAAATACGGATTGAAGCGAAAATAGTATCCGTAAAATTCTTGGTTTAAATGCTTGTGAAAGACAGAAGGACAAAAGTTAAACTTTAGATACTTACACAACATGAGATGTTCCAGAGTGAAATCGCTGAAAACTATACCCTGTTCCAGAGTAAAATCACCGAAACTATACCCTGTTCCAGAGTAGAATATATAAATAAATGAAATTACAAATAATAAACATATATAAAACAGTTGATTAGCTATTAAATGACACGTCAATGAACTGTCTGAATGATTGATTGTATACAAAGGCAGCTGTATTACCCATAATTAAATGTAATAAAAATCACGTAGTTACTAAAACATGGAACGAGCCAAAACCACCCAAAACGAGCCAAAACCACCCAAAACGAGCCAAAACCACCCAAAACGAGCCAAAACCAGTCAAAACGACTGCAAAACCTGCCAAAACGACCCACAACCAGCACAAAATCTAACCAAAACCGCCAAAAAAACCGCCAAACAACTCAACGGCAAATGGCTATTCATACGGTACCGTAAGCCGAGTTTGTTTTCTATTCGTACGGACATTGTATATATTCTGAAATTTTAAAGTAATTATATAAGATCTCGATTTTAAATTACTATAATTTTGTTTAGAGTCAAATAATAATATGAATACGCTGAAAACTTCGCGATTTTTCCATGCACGTTTTGGCTGGTTTTGGGTGGTTTTGCCTCGTTTTGGGTGTTTTTGGCTCGTTCCGTGTTTTAGTAACTACGATAAAAATCAACCATAAATGTAATACCAACCATAAATGTAATAATCATCAACCATAAATGTAATACCAACCATAAATGTAATACCAACCATAAATGTAATACCAACCATAAATGTAATA